AATTGTTTCTGGAACAAGGCAAGGGATAGATTAATAATATTAAAAAATGTGCGGTTCCCTGCAAAGTAGTTACTGTGGGTTTTGCTATTTACTGACTTCAGTGATATTCAGAACATCTTAAAGACAACTGTAAAAAAAAAAAAAGAGACAACTGTATTTATTTTTTGCAGACCTTGTGGTAAGTGGTTTTGAAAATGCTCAATGAGAGTGGATTTGATTTTTAGGAATAGTCACAAGTTAGCTGGCTCTAAGGCTGACAAACTCAGTTGGTGGCCAAGTTAGGCAACACGGGCTTTCATGAATATCAAGGCGATTGATTCAACACTTAAGAGGGAAACTCAGCCCCTGTCCTTAAGAAGTTGTGGTCCAGGTTGAGAGGAAGTCACACAAAAGACAATGTACAGCTGGGTGTGCTGGCTCACACCTGTAATCCCAGTGCTTTGAGAGGCCAAGGTGGGTAGATCGCTTGAGCCCAGGAGTTCAATACCAGCCTGGCTAACATGGTGAGAGACCCTCATGTCTCTATAAAAAATACAAAAAATGTAGCTGGGCGTGGTGGCACATGCTTGTGGTCCCAGCCACTCAGGAGGCTGAGGTGGGAGGATAACTTGAGGCTGGGAGGTTGAGGCTGCAGTCAGTTGTGATTGCACCTTTGCACCCCCACCTGGGCCACAGAGCAAGACCATGTCTCAACAAAAAAAAAGAGAAAGAGAGAGAAAAAAAAGACCATTTCCAATGCAGTTTCAGAAGCATGAAAGAGTAGTGGTGCAGTACTAGAGTAGTGGAAATGTTTTAAAACCAGGTGATAGTTAGGGCAGCAAACTGGGTAAATGCATTAAAAGTTATTAAACTGTCCACTCAAAAGAGGTTGAATTTGATGATATATAAATTATAACTCAGTAAAGTTGTTTTTAAAAAATGGCTACTCTATGTATGAGCGCAGATTCCCTTTAGTTCTAATTTAACACTATGGTCCTCACCACCTTTGCCCTGGGGAGCAAGGTGAAGAAGGAGGAGAAGAAGTTGGAGAAGTGGGAAAGTATAGGTTGGTCTTGCTTAGGTTCTGGTCTTGGGCCTGCCTTTAAGTGAGGGAAAGCACAGAGGGGTATTGTATATTCCAATGACATCACCACATTTACATTTTAGGTAGGTTTCAAGGAGACAGTCTGAAAGATGGCAGGACTGGAGACTAGGAGGCCAGTTAGTTATAAGGATATTATAACAGTCTTGGACAGAAATTAGGGTGGTTAGAACTGTGGGGGGCAAAAGGGTAAAAAGGAAGGCATAAGTGTGTGAGTTCTTAGGTACACTTGACAGGACTTGGTAACTGGTGAGATGGGGATGAGGAGGGAGAGGAAGAGTCAGGGAAGGCTTCGATCATAGGAGGGACAGCAGGGGGATGGACATGGGGGGTACAACCATGGACATATTTGATTTCAGATGCCTGTGTGACTTCCAGGTAGACATAGCCAACTGGCAGGTACACATATGACTCTAATGCTCTAGAAAGACCCAGGATTACAAGTCTTAGTACAAAGTGGTGGTTGAACCATAGCAGAGGATGAGATGAGTCATGGTGAAATTGTGAACTAAAAAAAAAAAAAAACTGGGCTGAGGATGGAACCCTGGGGAAATTAACATTCGAGAACCAGGGAGATGAAGAGTACGTAGAAAAAAAAATAAAGAAGAATGTGAGAGAAACAGGAAGAAAGCCAGGAGAGTGTGGTATCAGAGAGCCAAAGGAGGCTGAGGCAGGAGGATCACCTGAGGCCAGGCGTTTGAGACCAGCCTGGGAAACATTTAAAAAAAAAAGAAAGCAAGCCAAAGAGTCACGTTCGACAAGAAAGGACTAATAACGTCAAAGGTAGGTAAGACCGCAGAAAATAAAGGCTGAAAAGGAGCCCAGTGAATTTGGTTACTGACATTAGCGGAAGAATTTCAAGAGAAGGGAGAGGAGGGGAGGGGAGGGGAGGTGACGGCCTGGCTGCAGCAGGCCAGGGAATCCATGGTGGGGGTGCAGGAAGCAGACACAGAAATGGAGCTGGCTGTTTGGGGACATCTGGGATGAGGGAGGAAGGAACACGCACTGTGGCTGGAGAGGGACACAGTGTCTACAGAAAGCTTTGCTCTCTTGTTCTTAAGATGGGAGAGATTTAAGCACATTCATGGAGTGAGCCACCAAGAAGAAGGGAAATGTCAGCTGCCAGCGAGACTTGTGGATGGCAGGGGCTGGAGAGCAGAGGGCCTCAAGTCAGGGTCTCAGGCAGGTACCAGCAGGAAGAGGGTCACTTCATCCTCCGAGATGTGGGGACTAGATGGTGTGTAGCCTGGAGCGAAGGGGAGGAGGCTGAGTGGGTTCTCACCTGCTGGCCTTGGGGGTCTTCATTTTGTTTTGTGTGCGTGTGTGTGAAACAGGGCAGGGAGTTCTTTGTTGAAACAATGGGAGTTGGAAGTTTGAAAAAAGTGAAAGGTTTAAAATTGTGATGATAACAGAGGGAGCTGATGGACAAGTCAATGTGTTGACGTGAGTCATCTTTCATTCTTTTCTTTCCCTTACTCCGCCTCTCCATCTATCAGCAACATGTCTGTTCTGCTTCTATTTCCTGGGCCGGGCCACTTCTCACCACCTCCGCTCCTATCACCCTGGGCCAAGTCGCCAGAATCTCTCTCCTGAATTTCTATCATAGTTTCCTTACAAGTGTTCCTGCTTTTTCTTCTGCCCCTTCTAGCCCTTTCCCTGTACCGCAGTCAGAGTGACCCTTAATACAATGTAAATCAGATCATTTACTCCCCCGCTTAAACCATCCAATAATTCTCACAGTGATAATAAAACCTAAATGCCAAGCTATGTTCTGTGAGACCCAGTGTGATGCTTCTGCACTTTCCCTGGGTTCATGTGTTCCAGCCCCTCTGGCTGCCTTTGGTTTCCTCCAGGCTAGTTCCTGCCTCAGGACCTTTGCACTGATTTTCCTTCTGCTTGTGAAGCTCTGGTGGGATCTTTCCCATAATTCACCGCCACAGTCAAGTGTTACCTACTCAAAGAGACCTTTCCTGCTTCTAAAGGAGCACCACTTCTAATCCCTTAATCTATTTTATATTTTTATTGTATTTAGCAATAACTGAAACTATCTAATATATTTCTACTTGTGTAAGTTCTTTCCCCACTTAATCCTAGCATAAGAACTCCAGGAGAACAGAGACTTTGCTTAGCACAAAGTAGGCATTGAATAGATATTGGCTGAATGAATGAATGAAAGGGCAGTATTGAAAGCCCAATGGAGATTAGAAAATGAAACTACAGGCCGGGCTCCGTGGCTTGTTCCTGTAATCCCAACACTTTGGGAGGCCAAGGCAGGTGGATCACGAAGTCAGGAGATTGAGACCAGCCAAGCTAAATGGCGAAACCCCGTCTCTACTAAAATAAAATAAAATAAGCCAGGTGTGGTGGCTCGCGCCTGTAATCCCAGCTACTCAGGAGGCTAAGATGGGGGAATCGCTTGAACCTGGGAGGCAGAGGTTGCAGTGAGCTGAGATCATGCCATTGCACTCCAGCCTGATGACAGTATGAGACTCCATCTCAAAATAAATAAATAAAATAAAACTGCAGTGGGTCAAAGCCATACAGTTGTCTGATTTTCTTCAATGAGGACCATGAAATTATAAGATTGATTTTTTTCCTATATGCCTGTTCTGGAGACAATTTCAAACAGGATCTGGGTAGCAGAGACATCTTTGTGAAAAGTAGATAGACTCCCAGGATGACCAGTTTGGATGTTTATGTTCTTATTTATTTTGCAGAAATATCCTCGATTTTCTAGTCTTCTTATACGTGGGTAATCACGTTGTGGGAGGAAATTGCTCACTGTTTCCAGCCACACAGCTAAGCCGTATTATATAGGTGAAATCAGGTTACTGAGATAGGTCTGGTTTCCTTGGTGACCTGGGAGGTTTAGTTATATTTGAAATTGCTAAGAAGGGGGAAAACCTGATACCAGCAGTTCTGTGTTTTCCTCAGGGAAGGAGCGTTTTTCAATCCTCAGCCCTGGCTGAGAACGTGACTTCTTGATTGGCGAGGGCTGAGGTCCTGCCAGTGGGATGACTGACACTTTCTACCTGCTCCCGGCATCCCACAACCCAGTCTGGCAAGTTTGTCCCATGCCAGCTCTGGGTGGCGGCATCAGGACTCCTTAAGGTGCCCTGTCTGTTTTGGTTTTGCAGGTAAACACTGTAACTAGGGCGATGAGCAGTTAGATCATTGTAAAATGTGCAAACCACCTTTCTTCTGGTAGGGATGACAACAGAAGGGCGTGCTGTTTTACAAATGGTAGGGCCACCCAGGTAACTTTGATGTTTTCTTTCCTTCTCAGTTGGTTTGCCAAATTTAAGCCGTAATGCCATTGGTGCCCAAGGCTCTACGTGAACACTGAGCACAGTACTTTTACAGTGTTTATTTCATTTTCTTTCTTTTCTTTTTTTGAGATGAGTCTCACTCTGTCAGCAGGCCGGAGTGCAGTGGTGCAATCTTGGCTCACTGCGACCTCTGCCTCCTGGGTTCAAGCGATTCTCCTGCCTCAGCATCCTGAGTAGATGGGACTGCAGGTGCGCACCACCATGCCAGCTATTTTTTTTCTATTTTTAGGAGAGACGGGGTTTCCCCATGTTGGCCAGGATGGTCTCAGTCTCTTGACTTTGTGATCTGCCCGCCTCAGTCTCCCAAAGTGCTGGGTTTACAGGCGTGAGCCATTGCACCTGGCTCATTTCATTTTCAAGCTAATATTAGGAGGTGGATATGACCATTATCCCTGTTTGTTTTGTTTTTAACAGATGAGGAAATAGACTCAGAAAGGTAAAGTGGCATTTGATGTCACATATAGCTAATCAGTGGTGGGTTTGGGATTTTAGAAAACTTTTACTGCTTATTGTATGCTGATGCTGTATTCTGAATTCTCTTCAAATACCGTAAGAGAAGGCAGAAGGCAATTCTTGCTTTCTGCAATTACCTGATACTCAGAGTCCACCTTATGCTGCATGTCCCGCAGATACTGAACATCGCTGAAGAACCTCTGCCTGGCCCTTGCTTCAGGCAGCATGATTCCTAATCCCCGACCTGCACATAAAAGAGACATACATGTGCTGTGATAAGAGTCCTCCGTTGTGTTGCCGTATTTGGATTTATTTTCATGTAATTGCTTTTATTTGTGTATTCATCTAATTTCCCTTGTTTGAAAGGCACAGATGCTCCTTTCAGGCTAAAGGGACTTCTTATGTTGCTGTTGATGCCCTTACTGTCCTCCTGTTCCAGGCATAAATAATGCAGCCACCTTCATCAGGCACGTCAGTGATCCTGTCCTGCTTGCTCACGGGGAGGCAGATTGACAGACGCCTGATTCGGATCTAGAGCATGACACAAAAGAATGCCCTAGAACCTAGCTAAATTAGCAATGACCAAAGTTACAGGCCCCTGGTTCCTTAAATTCATGTATGCAACAATGATTGCACCCTTATTTTCAACCAGGCACTGTGCTGGGCACTGGAGTATAACAACCAGCAAAGCAGACACACGACGCTCTCCTTTGTGTTGCTTTTTTTTTTGAGATGGAGTTTCACTCCTGTTGCCCAGGCTGGAATGCGATGGCTGATCTCAGCTCACTGCAACCTCTGCCTCCCCAGTTTAAGTGATTCTCTTGCCTCAGCCTCCTGAGTAGCTGGGATTACAGGTGCCCACCATCATGCCTGGCTAATTTTTGTATTTTTAGTAGAGGTGGGGTTTCACCATGTTGGCCAGGCTGGCCTTGAACTCCTGACCTCAGGTGATTCACCCGCCTCAGCCTCCTGAATAGCTGGGATTACAGGTGCCCACCATCATGCCTGGCTAATTTTTGTATTTTTAGTAGAATTGGGGTTTCACCATGTTGGCCAGGCTGGCCTTGAACTCCTGACCTCAGGTGATTCACCCGCCTCAGCCTCCTGAATAGCTGGGATTACAGGTGCCCACCATCATGCCTGGCTAATTTTTGTATTTTTAGTAGAGTTGGGGTTTCACCATGTTGGCCAGGCTGGCCTTGAACTCCTGACCTCAGGTGATTCACCCGCCTCAGCCTCCCAAAATACTGGGATTACAGGTGTGAACCACCATGCCTGTCCTGTGTTGCTTATGATCCAGGGTGCAAGACTGACTTTGAGCAAGTGAATCCAAACTATGTTAGGTGCTCTGGAGCAGAACTATGGAGCTCTTTGAGAGCGTTATTACAGGAGAGTATAACTTGGTTTGGAGAGGTCAGGCAAGGTTTTCCGTAGGCAGTGACACTGAGTTTGACAGAGTGAGTTAGCTGAGAAGTGGGACAGAGAGGACAGCAAATGCAGAGGGTTCAGGCATGAAGGAGCAGGTGCAGATGAGGAAGATGGAAAGGGGAGCAGTGCAGCTGGAGCAGAGATGAGGAGGCACCAGTCCCAGAAGAACTGCAGGGGAGGCAGGGGCCAGCTCCAGTGGGGTCTTTAAGGTCATGATTCAAAGAGTCATGGGAAACTACTGAAAGTTTCCAATCTGGGGAGTAAATAATTAGTTTTGTGTTTTTATTTATTTGTTAATTTGTTAGTTCTTTTTCTTAGAGACAGAATCTTGCTCTGCCATCCAGGCTGGAGTGTAGCAGTGTGATCATAACTCACTGGGTACAGTGGCTCCCGCCTCCCAATGTGAATCACTTGAACCCAGGAGTTTGAGACCAGCCTCAGCAATATAGTAAGACTGTCTCTATAAAAAAAAAAGTTGAAAATTAGCTACGTATGGTGGTGCATGCCTGTACTCCTAGCTGCTTGGGAGGCTGAGGTGGGAGGATCACTTGAGCCCAGGAGTTAGAGGCTGCAGTGAGCCACAGTCACGCCACTGACTCTGACCTGGGCAACAGAGTAAGACCCTGTCTCTATTTAAAAAAAAAAAAAAAAAATTGTAGTTTTAAAAGATCCTTCCAGTTGTGGTGTGAGAATGGATGGGTGGGATGACGGTGGTAGAGTAAAAACAGAAGTAGGAAGACCTCTGGGAAAATAGCACAGTGGTCCAGATGTGATAAAATGGTGATCAGCATCAGGCAGCAACCGTGGAGAGAAAAAGGAGGAGGAGGAGAATGGGGAGAGAGAGGGGATCATGGCTACTCTTTTTTTTTCGAGATGGAATTTTGCTCTGTCACCCAGGCTGGAGTGCAGTGGCATTATCTCATCTCACTGCAACTTCAGCTTCCAGCAATTCTCCTGCCTCAGCCTCCCAAGTAGCTGGGATTACAGGCATATGCCATCACACCCGGGTAATTTTTTATTCATAGCAGAGATGGGTTTTCACCATGTTGGCCAGGCTGATCTCGAACTCTTGACCTCAGGTGATCTGCCTGCCTCAGCCTCCCAAAGTACTGGGATTACAGGTGTGAGCCACAATGCCTGGCCCATCGTTGCTCTTTACTGAGCCTCTGGAAGGGCTAGGCCTTGTTTTAAGCAGTTACACAAATTAACTCATTCAATCTTCTCAACAACGCTATGAGGCCGGCACTACATCTCCATTTTGCAGGCAAGGAAACTGAGGCCCAAAGGGATTAAGTAACTTGCCTTAAGTAACAGAGCTAGGGAGTGGAAGAGTTGGGATGTGAACCCAGAGAATCTCGCTGCAGTGCCCACACCCTTAACCAAGGGATTCAAAGGACCTCGGGAGAGAAAGTCTTCAAGGGCTTGCGATTATCTGGATGGGTCAGGGGCTGGAAGTCTCAGAGATGCCCAGGTTAGTGGGTTGGTGCCAGCATTCCCTTCAGAAAACACAGGAGGAGCTACTTTGTGAGGAAACAGCACAGCATCAGAAGAGTCTGGTGCAGCAAACAGAGAGGCCAAGCATGCTGTCAGACACAGGGCTCTGGAGTTGACTGGAGAGGCACAGATCTGGGCATTGCTGGGATTCTGTGATAACTGAAGTTGAAGGAAGAATGGGAATGAAAAGAGAAATGAAAAGGGAAAGAGGACACAGGACAAAACTGTGAGGAACACTCATAGTTAGAGAACAAGCAGCTGAAGAGAAAAGCCAGAGGTAGGAAAAGACCAGGTGGGTGCTGTTTCAGAGATGCTGAGAAGAGAGCATTTCAAAAAGGAGGCTACTAATAACCTTGGTGAGAGCATTCAGTGGAGTGATGGGGCCGGGAGGGCTGCAGAAGGTTGCGAGATGGGAGGCGAAGGCATGGAGAGCATGCTTTCAATAAGTTTGGCTGTGATTGGCATGGCCCAAGTTTATGGCCAAAATATTTAAGCTCACAAAGGGATAAAATGGCACTGTTAATAATGACTCTTCACCTATGGGGTCATCAAAGCCCCCACCTATTCCGTGTGACAAGGAAACAGCAGGGTGGGACAGGTGACATCTCTACCTTCAGGTGTATACGTTCTGTGGCTTTCCTTCCCTCCTCCTGTTTATTCAGTTGTAGATATTGCCAGTCAGACTGCCCCTGACTCATGGTGACCCAGTGTCTGGTCTGGTAGTTACAAAATCTCACACTGTTTATTGTTTGGCCCTGAACAATGCGGAAAACTTGTGCAGGTCTCTTGGGGGTTCTTTTCTCTGGAGTATGGAAAGTTGGTCTTTGACAGTCAGAGTCTGAAACTACATCTAATGTGTAGTTCCAGTGCACACACAAAACCTAAATGCTGTCTCTGAGCATTTTAATAGTCATTTATGGGACTATATTTTATTAATTTATTAATTAATTAATTTTTATTTTTCGAGACGGAGTTTTGCTCTTGTTACCCAGGCTGGAGTGCAATGGTGCGATCTCGGCTCACCGCAACCTCCACCTCCTGGGTTCAGGCAATTCTCCTGCCTCAGCCTCCTGAGTAGCTGGGATTACAGGCACGCACCACCATGCCCAGCTAATTTTTTGTATTTTTAGTAGAGACGGGGTTTCACCATGTTGACCAGGATGGTCTCGATCTTTTGACCTTGTGATCCACCTGCCTCGGCCTCCCAAAGTGCTGGGATTACAGGCTTGAGGCACTACACCCGGTGGGACTATGTTTTAAAAGATGACTTTTAGCGTTTCATCGGAATGTGTACCTGCATAGAACAAAGTTACACTTTCACTCTTTTCAGAAAACGATGGTGTTAAAACGGCAGGAGGATAAGCCCCTGCTGTTACTGTTGGAAAGAGATGCCTGTCTGAATCTTAATCAGGCAGCGACCCTAAGGACTCATAATAAAAATGTTAATGGTCACTAAAGGGGCACATCCCAGAATCCACTTGGATTATACATTTTTGTTACAAAGTTAATACAGACAGCCAGTTAATCTATCATGGCTTTAGTGCAGGGTTAATTTAAGGCGACTTCTAAGTTAAGAGGCATAAAATAACGTTGTCTTAAATAGGTAGGAGGTAGCACCTTTCGAGTTACTTGCTAAGTTGCCTCTGATTTTACAATCACCTACCAAATAAAGGACTTTAAAATTGCCCACAGCTGGTGGCTCACCTCTGTAATCCCAGCACTTTCAGAGGCCTGAGGTGGGTGGATCACTTGAGGTCAGGAGTTAAGAGACCAGCCTGGCCAACATGGCAAAACCCCATCTCTACTAAAAATACAAAAATTAGCCGGGTGTGGTGGTGTGCTCCTGTAGTCACAGCTATTCGGGAGGCTGAGACAAGAGAATTGCTTGAAACTGTAAAATGGAGGTTGCAGTGAGCCAAGATCATGGCACTGCACTCCAGCCTGGGCAACAAGAGAGACCCGTCCCCCGCAAAAATTAAAAATTAAAAAAGAAATTACCTACAAAAGTCTCTTTTCCTTCCCATAAACTCTCTATTTCATTGTATTTCACAATATTTAGAAGCATCATAGTGTCACATGTAATTTTTAATTTAAATACATTAGGTCTTTATGAGATTAAACAAATATTATGAGAACCAAGAAAACAGGGTATTAGTGATAGAGCAAGATGGTAGTTACTCCGTGTAAGCAAACATTCTCCGTGTTTGCGTGAATGTCATACCGCACTCCAGGTATGAAAAGCTGACCAGGATGAACGAGAAACAGAAATAACTATGGAAATAAATCTACATGAGATAATGCCTAATTCACAGATCTCAGCTTTGTGGGCCTACTCAACCAGATGGCCACTTGAAGCTGAGAATTTTTCCCCAGCAAACACAGAGGGTTGGGGTGGGGGTGATAATAAAATGTGGACAAGGCACATGTTTCTAAAATAGCACTCTGTATTCTCTTCCATCGCTCACCTTTGAACTGCTTCTTAATTTAAAATCCACTCACGGTCATGCACACTTCTGTTTTAAGCCTTTCTGGTGATAATGTCTTGTGCCAAATTTGTACTTTAGAAATCAACATAAGAAGCCGTATTAAGTAGGAAGAGAGAAAGGAGGAGGGAGTTGGAGGCTTGTGGAGAAGGAGGGAGTCCTGTGCTGCTGAAGCAAGAGCAAATAATTCTTCTTGGCCTCAAAATTCTACGTATCTGTGAAGTTTTGTGGGGAATATTCTAAGAACTTTGTGACATACACATTCTTCTCTAGTGTAACTTTCCAATGAATTCCAACCAAGTTTTCCTGACTAAGGAGAACAGAATCTGACTGCAGAATGTTTTTCAGTGCCCGAAAAAGTCATGCATACATACCATCCTTCTGTTTTATGACCACATTTGTCAAAAGAACTGATTTGAAGGAGTCTCTTCTTTTTTTTTTTTTGAGACGGAGTTTCGCTCTTGTTTCCCCGGCTGGAGTGCAATGGCACGATCTCGGCTCACCGCAACCTCCGCCTCCTGGGTTCAGGCAATTCTCCTGCCTCAGCCTCCTGAGTAGCTGGGATTACAGGCACGAGCCACCATGCCCAGCTAATTTTTTGTATTTTTAGTAGAGATGGGGTTTCACCATGTTGACCAGGATGGTCTCAATCTCTTGACCTCGTGAGATCAAGAGGCCGCCTCGGCCTCCCAAAGTGCTGGGATTACAGGTGTGAGCCACGGCGCCCGGCCGGAGCCTCTTCTTAATAACAAACTCTTGGCTCACTGCAACCTCCGCCTCCTGGGTTCAAGCGATTCTCCTGCCTCAGCCTCCTGAGTAGCTGGGAATACAGGCACGTGCCATCACAGCTGGCTAATTTTTTTTGTATTTTTAGTAGAGGCGGGGTTTCACCGTGTTAGCCAGGATGGTCTTGATTTCCTGACCTCAGGATCTGCCTGCCTGGGCCTCCCAAAGTGCTGGGATTACGGATGTGAGCCACCGCACCTGGCTAACAATCAAACTCTTATTGGTTTCTTTTTAAAAACAATTTTTTTGAGACAGTCTTGCTCCCAAGTTGGAGTGCAGTGGCGTGATCTCGGCTCACTGCAACCTCTGCCTCCTGGGTTCAAGTGATTCTCCTGCCTCAGCCTCCTGAGCAGCTGGGACTACAGGCGCATGCCACCATGGCTGGCTAATTTTTTTTGTATTTTTAGTAGAGGCGGGGTTTCACTGTGTTAGCCAGGATGGTCTCGACTCCTGACCTCATGATCTGCCTGTCTCAACCTCCCAAAGTGCTGGGATTACAGGCATGAGCCACTGCACCCAGCCAACAATCAAACTCTTATTCTTTTCTTACTATGTCCTCATAAGAGAAAGACATCACTAAAGCTAATATTCTGTTAAGCAATAAAGGAAAATGTAAATAATTTAACCCCTCCTTAGACGGAAGTTTGCTTTGAAACAAAATCTAAATGGCTATTGTTAATACCTGATAATCAGGCTCAAAAACTACCCCCTTTCCACAATTAGGTGCTTGGAGGAGGATTTCAGGAGAACTTATTCAATCTTTTCCCCAATTGATTAATTTGTAATGTCAAACATTATAGGATTTGTTTAGACCTTAGGTTAAAAAAATTAGCATTTTAAAGTCTTAGCTTATAAACGTGTCTTGAGTATAAGCAAGAAAGGTTAGCGGGGCGCGGTGGCTCACGCCTATAATCTCAGCACTTTGGGAGGTGGGTGGATCACGAGGTCAAGAGATCGAGACCATCCTGGTCAACAGGGTGAAACCCCGTCTCTACTAAAAATACAAAAAATTAGCTGGGCATAGTGGTGCGCGCCTGTAATCCTAGCTACTCGGGAGGCTGAGGCAGGAGAATTGCTTGAACCCAGGAGGCGGAGGTTGTGGTGAGCCTAGATCGTGCCGTTGCACTCCAGCCTGGGTAACAACAGCGAAACTCCGTTTCAAAAAAAAAAAGGTTAATGATTTGGGCCCAGTTTACAAATACTGTGACTGCAGAGAAAAAGGAAGAATTGGTTGGGAAAGTTAAGGAGATCTTTTAACTCTTTTAGCCAACTTGGCTTAAGAGTTGGAGGCGGGAGGGAGGCGGAGAAAGGCTTGCTTTTGGCTGTGACTCTTCATTTTACTGTGAAACTAGGAGAGATGGGCGGTCACATTTCGACCATCAAGCCCAGAAGAGGGGAAAAACTCAACGTGTGATTGGGAAACTTTGGGGGAGGAAACCTCACAGGTTCGACAAGCAATTCAGTGCTAACATTAATAACAATATCCAGCCTGGGAAACATAACGAGACCACTTCATTACAAATAATATTAAAAAACTAGCCAGGCGCGATGGTGGCCTGTGGTCCCAGCTACCGGGAGGCTGAGGCATGAGGATCGCTTGAGTCCTGGAGGTCGAGGCTGCAGTGAGCCGTGACTGCGCCGCTGCATCCCAGCCTCGGAGACAGAGCGAGACTCCTCAAAAACAAAACCAGTATCAGCCATTTGGCACTCAGAAGCCCAAGGAGCCATGGTCTGTGTATACCTTTCCTGACCAGTGGCATCTGCAGGAAGGAATGTGGGTGCGGGCGGCTTCCAATGAGCAAAGGGTCACAGCATCCCCCAAACCTGTGCCTTTGAGACAGAAAAAAGCTGGTGCTGGGGTCAGCTGGGTCAGGGACAGGCCAGGCCATCGGATGTCAGGTCCGGTTTCCCTCCAGAATTTTGGAAGTCTAAAGGGAAGGTTGTCCCCGAACCTGGGAGGACGGGGTTGGAGCGGCGGGGGGCCAGGGGCCGTTACCTGTGGGGCTGCCCTTCCTCCCCTGCCGGTGCTAAAGGGGTCGAGGGGCGGGGCAGGCGGGCCGGTACAGGGCGCAGGAGCCGCCCATCAATCGGGCCAGGACTGCCCTGAACGCCTCTTCCTCCTCCTCCTCTCGTTTCTGCTCTTCACCTGCCCCTCTTCCTTCTCCTCCCCCGAGGCTGCTTTCCTTGGCGCCTGCCTGCCTTGCCTGGGGCGGAGGCGGTGGGGACGGCTACCGGGCGTCCTCCGGTTTCCCTGGCAACCGCACCTCCTTGCCCCCCTCCCTCCCCCCTGCAGGGGACCGGTGCAGAGAGCGCGGAGCAGGGGGCGGGGCGGGGCGGGGCAGAGCTGCGGCCCCAGAGCCAGGCGTGGGCGCCCGCCGGTTGTCGCGGTTGTCGTGGGAACTAGGCAGGCCGCAGTCTCGGAGGCAGACCGGTGCTGGTGGGCAGAAAAGAGATGCCCGAAGAGGAGGTGGGTGGCTTTGTCTGGATACCCAAGCCCGGACCTAGATATCCAGGCCTCCGCTCCTTCCCTGAAAGGGTGCTGTGCTTCATAAAAAATGAGATTAGAAAATGAGAGAGGAAAATATTTTTAATGGAATCAGGGAATATGAAAAACAGTTATGTGCAGAGGGAAAAATTCTGCAGTCCTGGAGTTCGACCTCTGCAGAGGACATCTGGAATGCTCTGGTTCAACATGAAAAAAAAGAAATAAGCGATTAAGGGAGGCACCCAGTCAGTGACAGAACCAAGACCAGAGCCCAGGCCTCTTAGTTATCAGTCATCTTCATCCGCTTTTCAAGGAGAGAGGTGCTTAGAGGCCTAGGCCAGGCCCGTCAGGGCACCAGAACAGCTGCCACCCTCACCTTCTCTCTGCCAGGTTGATTTCTTTCTTTTTTTTTTTTTTTTGAGACAGAGTCTGGCTCTGTTGCTCAGGCTGGAGTGCAGTGGCGTGATCTTGGCTCAATGCAACCTCTGTTCCTGGTGTTCAAACGATTCTCGTGCTTCAGCCTTCTGAGTAGCTGGGACTACAGGCATACGCCACCACACCTGGATAATTTTTTTTTTTTTTTTTTTTTTAGTAGAGATGGGTTTTCTCCATGTTGGCCAGGCTGGTCTCAAACTCCTGACCTCAAGTTATACACCCGCCTGGGTCTCTGAAAGTGGTGGGATTACAGGCGTGAGCCACCGTGACCAGCCTTGCCAGATTGATTTCTGACTGTCGTTCTCATGGGCAAAGATTACCCTTCTATTTACTTTGCATATTTAGGCTCTCAACTTGCCAACCGATGTAAAGTTAGGGTATTTTTGATTGAGTAGAGAGTGAGGTAAAGGAAGAATAGAAGTTCTTGGAACTTTCATCAGTGCCTGGAATCCCTAGGTGTCTGTGGTTTGAGTGTCTTCTCAACACCTCCCTCCCCCCTGTTCAGCTGGTGCCAAGTCCTCGCGGCATCACATTCTTCCTTCTATTCTTATCAGCACCACTCTAGTTTTTGAGCTCTGTGACCTAGTTTTGGGCTCCATGAGTTATTTTGAGGGCCTCCTGGCCACAGCCTGGACCCCTGTTGTCCACATCCTATCTCCACCATTTTTCCCGTCATATAAGCAGCCTACATCTAATGGTGCTGCCCCCCTGCTTAAAAAGTCCTGAAAGGTTCCTCACCACCTGTGGAATGAAGTGAAACTCTTTACTATGACTTTCCCTGTCCCGCCCCCATGGTTTGCTTTCTTGATTTTTCTCCTTCATCGCTTCTTCACTCATATTTCAGCCAGATGGGGCTATGTGTTACACACTGAACATTTTTCCTTGCCTTCACACCAACTTCAAAGACATATCCTGAGCTGGGCAGAGCCTAGACAGCTGTACTTAGGTGAAGTCTTTCCTTTGGGCACTTTCCCATTTGAACTTCACTGGTCCTCCAGCAGACCCCTGCAGCCCCTAGGAGCTTTTCATCTCTGGGTGAAAATCCTAGTCGTGGCATTTGCTGTATCATAGCGAAGGAGTCTCATTACCCTTTGAATTTCAAGATCCCTGTAGTTAAAAATGGAAATAACCAGAGCCTCCTCAATGAACTGTCATGAGGATTAATGAACTCAAGTATGGAAAGTTTCTGGCATCGTGCCTGACGCAGTAGCTGCTCAACTAATAGCTATCATTATTGTTTCCATCATGTACACACATGTCATTCTCCTTGCTGAGATTTGAGACACCATGAAGTACATCACCCGTACACATAGAAAGCATGTCTAAAAGCTGTTACTTTGACCGGGCACAGTGGCTCACACCTGTAATCCTAGCATTTTGGGAGGCTGAGGCAGGCAGATCATTTGAGGTAAGGAGTTTGAGACCAGCCTGGCCAACATGGTAAAACCCTGTCTCTACTAAAAGTACAAAAATTAGCTGGGTGTGGTGGTGGGTGCCTATAATCCCAGCTACTGGGGAGGCTGAGGAAGAAGAATGTCTTGAACCCGGAAGGTGGGGGTTGCAGTGAGCTGAGATCACGCCGTTGTACTCCAGCCTGGGTGACAGAGTGAAACTCTGTCTCAAGAATAAATAAATAAAAGCTGTTACTTCTTTAAAATGCTACTAATATCTTTGTGGTTAATTTTATATTGATTTTTTTTATGCTGAATTTCAGAAAGTGACATTTTATGATCTCATTTCTAATTTTTATTAGAGATCATTTTATTTTATGAAACTGAGAGTGTATCCAAGTTTAGGGCTTGCAGCCATCCATGAAATATGTGAAATTTGGTAATGTCTATTGGGCTTTCATAGGGCAGATATTTGAGATCCAATTCTTATGTAGAATAAAGTAGACTCTATTAGAGACTGGCAAACTCCCTAAAATTAATTATAATTTTTTTTTAAAAAAGCATGTCCTCTGGGAGATCTCTTAGAATTTTCCTCACTTGTAACTGTAACTGATTTATTGTGCCATTTTACAAAGAGGGGGCAAACTCATTAAAGTTTTTGGATCCTATAATACTGAAATATTTCTTGAAAGTTCAAATGGGCTTTGATTTATTTATCCATTTTGGAAGCTTCAGACTTTTCAAACCCTTCATTATGGCCATTGATGCATCTGATACAAGATTGGCTGTGATTATAGGAGCTTTGAGAACATAAAACATACTGCTTTTCTGAATTTCTGAAAAATTCCTACCAAAAGGAAGAATTTGACTTCTGTCCAGAGGCGTATCTGATTTGTTTGGACTTTGGATAAACTCGAGCTATACATATTTGGCCAAGAGTTTGATTTGTGGACTAATCATCAAGCCCTGAGCAAGAGTCAGGCTTCAGAAAGCAATGTCAGTGTCAAGAACCCCACATGAGCATTACATGTTTCTGGACAGATGAACACTCAAGCCAAAAAAAAAAAAAAAAAATCCATCTCATCAAGAGGGCAGAGGAACATAAGCAATGGGCAACCTCTGAACCTTCAGGAAGTGACCGGTACTCCATGACATTTCATTTTTTGTTGTTGTTGGTTTTTGTTTTTCTGAGATGAAGTCTTGCTCTGTCACCCAGGTTGGAGCGCAGTGGTGCGATTTTGGCTCACTGCAACCTCTGCCTTCTGGGTTTAAGTGATTCTCCTGCCTCAGCCCCCTGAGTAGCTGGGAATACAGACATGTGCCACCATGCCCGGATAATTTTAATATATGTATTTTTATTTTTTTTGAGAAGGAGTTTTGCTCTTATTGCCCAGGCTGGAGTGCAGTGGCATGATCTTGGCTCACTGTAACCTCCACCTCCCGGGTTCAAGCAATTCTCCTGCCTCAGCCTCCCAAGTAGCTGGGATTATAGACATGTGCCATCATGCCCCACTAATTTTGTATTTTTAGTAGAGACGGGGTTTCACCATGTTGGCCAGGCTGGTCTCAAACTGCTGACCTCAGGTGATCCGCCCACCTTGGCCTCCCAAAGTGCTGGAATTACATGTGTGAGCCATAGTACCTGGCTGACATTTTGTTTTGTTCAGAGCAAGTGAGGGAGAGAGTAGAGCAACAACCAGGAGACAGAGCAACACAGGAACAGGAGCAGGTGGCCTCCTTTCTAATCACCCACTTCCCGATAGTTGCAGCCATAGAGTTTTTGCTGGGCAGAGTGCCCTCTGCACTCACAAGGATGGAATGGGGACCCCTCAGATGACTGCACCACACAGATGAGCATTCACCCCCAACATAGAGGATTTCCAATGCTTGCTCTGTTTTTTCTTCTGAGCTCTTTCTTTTGTGGTTGTCTCTGCTTTTCTAATGGCACAGAAGGAACATCAGATTAGCTGCTAACTCTAATTTCTTTCTTTAACCCTTTTTACCTTCTCATTGCCTCCGCCCCACCAAAGATTGGCTGCTTACCACCTTAAAGGGGAGGTAAGGGTATTAACAGACCACATTAGTATCTTTAAGGGAAGATTGGGAACTAGGCTCGAGGAGACTCACAGCAAAGATGGGTCTTTGGGGATGTCTGTCCGTGTTCAAAGCTGTGCATAACAAATCAGTGAACCTGGAACATTTTTTCTGTTCATTTAATCAACAGATAACTATTGAATGGCTAATTCATGTTAAGGACAATTTACATGTTGACAAATCAATAAATATACACTGCTGGGGCTGGGCACGGTGGCTCACGCTTGTAATCCCAGCACTTTGGGAGGCCAAGGTGGGTGGATCACAAGGTCAGGAGTTTGAGACCAACCTAGCCAAGATGATGAAACCTCATCTCTACTAAAAATATAAAAATTAACTGGGCATGGTGGCAGGTGCCTGTAATCCCAGCTACTTGGGAGGCTGAGGCAGGAGAATTGCTTGAATTTGGCAGGTGGAGGTTGCAGTGAGCCAGGATCACACCACTGAACTCCAGCCTGTGTAACAGAGCAAGACTCCATCTCAAAAAAATTTTAAAAATAAAAAAAAATACACACACACACACACACACACACACACACTGCTGGAAGTCCAGCTAGAGCAATCAATCAGACAAGAGAAAGAAATAAAGGGCATCCAAATTGGAATGGAAGAAGTCAAATTATCCTTGTCTGCAGGTGATATGGTCTTGTATTTGGAAAAACCTAAAGACTCCAGAAAAAGACTATTAGAACTGATAAACTCAGTAAAGTTGCAGGATACACAATCAACATACAAAAATCAGTAGGATTTCTATATGCCAACAGTGAAGAATCTGAAAAAGAAATAAAAAAGTAATCCCATTTATGATAGCCACAAATAATATGAAATACATAGGCATTAGCCAAAGAAATGAAAGATCTCTATAATGAAAACTATAAAACACCGATGAAAGAAATCAAAG